TTTTTTTTTTTTTTTGGTACCAGGGATCAAACTCGGGTCCTTGTGCTTGCACAGCAGGTGGTGAAACCACTAAGCTAAATCCCCAGCCCCCACCTTTAACTTTTAACACAATGTTCATTTTTTGGATGCTTCAAGAAAGATTCTATCAGCAAATAATCTCAAATAACCAGGGGAATGCCTACAGAGAGCTAATGAAGCCCAAACGAGGACATTAAGGAGCTATTACACAGCAAAATATTACTGGTTTTTTTTTCACAGCAACATTATTGTAAAGACTATAAACACCCAACCAGAAAATGGGCACAATAACTTTCATGTCTGCACAAAATGACATGTCATAAATGGAAGATTGTCTAAATGGGGATGCAGAATGGCTGTCCTCATTACTACTACTTCAGATTATTCAGCAACAATTTCCATGGCTGCAGCAAAATGGAGCCATTATGTTCCAGCAGAGGAATTTAAAGCACTTTCTTGCTTTTGTTTAAAATATTTAAACAAAGGATACAGGTGAATAATATGCCAGCATATAGGCATACTGGCTGAATTTTTGGTCTGAGATAAATTAAGTACACTTATAATTTATAACTAGTTACCATTAGTGTTACTTATTCATGTCAAATGCACATCTTAGAAACGTGGTTTTTTTGCTTTTTTGGTTTTTTTTAGAAATGTGTTTTAGAAAAAACAAGTTCTAGCTTACTTGGACTAATACTCAGGGAAAAACAATTTACAACCAAGAACAAAAATAAAAACTCAGACCATTCCATTCCTCAGAGGAGAAGAGAAGCAAATGAGTGCTGAGCAGGTCACCCAAAAGGTCCAACACTACGAGTTACATCCAGCAAGCCCTGTGTCTACAGCAGTAGTTTAGAGACCGAGGTCATTCCGTTGCCCACAGGACACTGGATAGTGTCTGGAGACATTTCCGGTTATCACAACTGCAGGTCTGTGTCTATGTGTGCGTATGTCTAGTGGGCAAAGGCCAAGAATGGTTATAAATACCCTATAGTGCAAAGGACGGAGCACTACAACAAAGAACTGTGACACAAAATGTCAACACTGTCTGCTTTAAAACCCTGCCTCACACGAAACACTACAAAGCTACAAACTTTGTCAACTGCAAATTGCATAAAAAGTTTACATGATGCATATTTTCAAAGTATTTGTTTTCAACAAAGTAGTGGAAACAATTCATATTTACACACCAAATCAGACAGATGTGTTTACATTCCAGTTACCTTTACGCAATTCCCAGGCATCTATATCTGGCTTGTTGAAGTATGTCACCCAGCGAGCATCGAACTCCTCATCTGTCTCATGTGACCCATGGGAATAGCAGCGAACCGACTGGACAGCTGCAATGGACAGAGAGCAATAACTTTATGGACAGAGACAGCACTTGATGTATCTTGCCTAATGCATTCAGTTTCTTTGTTGTTGTTTTTGGGGGCAGGGTCTCACTATTCTGTTCAGGCCAGCCTGAACTCACCATGTAGCCCAGGCTGCCCTTGAATTTGTGACAATCCTCCTGCCTCAGCCTCCCGAGTGTTGGGATTACAGGTGTGTGCATTCAGTTTTCTGAGGTTTTTTTCCAGTACAGTAAATCCCTGACTCAGAAACATTCGAGTAGCAAATTGTCACTGGTGTACTATGTAAGACTCTGTTGGCTCAAGAACGAATCTGACTTATGAACAATTCTCACAGAAGAGAACTCATTTGTAAACTGGGGACTTACTGTACTGGGATTGAACCTAGAATCTTTGCACTAAACTCCATCCCAGCCCTTTTATGATGGAGACAGGGTCTCTCTAAGGTGCTAAATTGCCCAGGCTGGGCTCAAACTTGTGATCCTCCTTCCTTAGCCTCCCTCAGTCTGAGATTACAGGGCTGCACCTCTATGCTAGACCTGCACCGAGGTTTGAATCAATATATATGTTGTAGTAGAAAAAATATTCAGTAGGTCAAATGAAATAGATCCTGTGTGCTATGTATATCTTTTAAATTATTAAGCAAAGATAAGTAGAACAGAAAGTATCACATAAGTATGTTTGTGCTTCACATCCTGCAATGTGTAACTCACTTGAAGCTGTTAACAGTGGTTATCTTTAGGAAGGAAAAAGTGTATTTCCTTATATGCTTCCATACTGTGTGAATTTCTGCAATAATGGAGTATTGATTCCTAACTAAAAAAATTGTTGGTCGGGTACAGTGGCACATGTGTGTAGTCCCAGATATTTGGGAAGCTGAGGCAGGGAGAGTGTTTGAGCCCAGCAGTTCAAAGTCAGCCTGGACAACACAGCAAGACCCTGTCTCCAAACAAAGCTCTACTGTAGTTCTTAAACAAATTCATAATGCATACTTATAGATACTGACAGACAGATACTGATACATGAATCAAACATTGTAACCAGGTGAGATGCCCCACATCTATAGCCCCAGGGCTGGGGAAACTGAAGCAGGAGGATCACCATAAGTTGGAGGCCAGCCAGGGCTACAGTGAGCTCAAAGGCACCTGCAACTACATAGTGAGTCTCTGTCTCAAAAAAAACGCAAAAAACTGGGCATGGTGGCACACGCCTGTAATCCCAGCACTTGAGAGGCTGAAGTAGGAAGATCGCAGTAAATTGGAGGCCATCGTGGACTACATAGTGAGTTCAAAGGCAGCCTGGACTACATAGCAAGACCCTGTCTAAAAAAATTAAAAAGCAACCAAAAAACAAAACAAGCCAGGCATGGTAGCCTATCCAGTAGCTGGGATTACAGGCATGCACCATCACAACTGACATCATTTTCTTCTCTAGGGAAACAATACAGGCACATCCCCTATACCTCCATCTCACTGAAGTACAGCATGTACAGCTAGTTTTGAGGCATGGAAGGCCAACTATTGTGGAAGACAATTACTCAATGCTTTTATACAAACCAGGAGGTTCCTGAGGAGAAAAAAGTAAGTAGCTGTGAAAAATGGGAACATTTCTAAAAAGCTATTAACAACAATGCTTTCTGGCATTTAGATGGCATTAAATCAGATGGCTTGGGGGGGGGGGGCAGTCTCACTATGTAATTCAAGTTGGACCTGAAGTCACTATGTAGCCCAGGCTGGCCTCAGACTCACTGCAATCCTCTTGCCTCAGCCTCTAGAGTGCTGGGATTACAGGCATCCTCCACCATACCAGGCTAATAAATTCTGTTTTGTTCCTAGTTAGCCTCATCCAAGAAATTTAAGTCTTTTGACTTTCACTTGAAAAAAATGCAAGGCCTCATACTGATAACAAATCTCAGGTTTTAATATATAAAAGTGAGGGCCAGAGATTTAGCTCAGTGGTTCTGCTGCCTGCCTCACAAGCACAAGGACCAGAGTTCAATCCCCGGTACCGAAAAAAGAAAAAGAAAAAGAAAAAGAAAAAAAAAAAATATATATATATATATATATAAAAGTGAAATGCACAATAAAGTATGCACAGTTTGTGGGTCACATAACATTGTAGACAAATGACAGACCACATGTAGATAGGATATACCATATACCCTAAGTATGGAGTAGGCTAGACTAGCTTGGCTTGTGTATCTAGGTTCAGTCTATGATGTTCACAGGACAAAAGTGCCTCAATAACTGTATTTACTAGATCTTATTTCATTATTAAATGCATGGCTATATTTAAGCATCTGTACCAGGCAAAATGATAAGAATTACATTATCCCATTTAAACCTCACAACTACCTAAATTTAACCTGATTTTAGAGAAGCAACTGAAGCTTAAGGTTAAGTAACACGTCCAAGGACACACAAAAATTGACCGACTCTACTTGCAATCGATACTGCCTCCTTGTGGCAAATAATTAGGTATGGGGGACAAACACCTCAAACCCTTTTTATTTTAATTTTACTCAGCAGAGTGAGTAAATAGAATGCTGGAAAATAAAAACCACCAAATAAATAAGAATCTTCTTGGGCCGGGGATTTAGCTCAGTGGTTTCGCCGCCTGCTGCGCAAGCGCAAGGACCCGAGTTCGATCCCCGGTACAAAAAAAAGAAAAGAAAAGAAAAAAAAAAGAATCTTACTCTACACTTTGCCTTTTGGGAAATACCTCTGGCATTTCTCAAATCTGCTATAAAATGTAGGAAGAAATTTGTTTTAGATTTTTTTTGGCAGTTCTGATTATTGAACCCAGAGCCTTTGTACTCAGCTACATCCCCATCCCTTTTTTAATTTTTAATTTTGAGACATGGTCTCACAAGGTCACAAAGTTACTCCGGCTGGGTTCCAACTTGAGATCTTCCTGACACAGCTTCTAAGAGTGCTGGGATTACAGTTGTTTACCATCACACCCAGTTTAGCAATTGAGAAATTTCCTAAAACATTATCTATAGAAAAAAGGAGCATTTGCAATGAGCATGGTGGCCTAGACCTGTAATCCCTCAGAAGCCACAGGCAGGAGCATTACAATTAAATTAAAAAAACAAAAAACCCCACAAGAGCCAGGCAAGGTGATGCATGCCTGTAATCCCTGCACTCCAGAGGCTAAGGCAGGAGGACTGCTATGAGTTCAAGGCCAGGCTAAACTACATTGAGAGACCCTGTCTCAAAAAAAACCCAAAACTTTGAGATGGGTCAAACCTGCCAACAGCTAAGAAACAGAAAATAGTTTCACTAATAAAAAAATCAGATGGCAAGGTGACCCTGTGTCCTCTTCTGTATAAAATAATCTCCAAAGTCTCTAAAGTGCATTCCAGGGCCGGGGATTCAGCTCAGTGGTTCCACTGCCTTGCAAGCACAAGGACCTGAGTGGTACTAATTAATAAATAAATAAATAAATAAATAAAGTGCATTCCAGCCTTATGGTTCAATGATACAGTACAAAAAATAAAGTCTAAATTAAATGAAGCCAAAAATATTCTTCCAGTTCCAAAGTACAGTTATAAATCCCTAAAATAGTCAAGCAAACACTGTTTCTTTTTGAGTTTATGTTAAAACACGCATACAAAAAATAAGAACCAAGAGAGTATGTAAAGGTGCATATCTCCAATGATGAATGTCATTATATTGCACACCTAAAATGTACCAATAAAAGGATATACAAAGTAAAAATAAAAATAAAAATAAAAAATAAAAAACCCCACCCATACACAAAACCTAGGTTTCATAATGCAGCATACACTACCACCATGTGCCAAACTAAGCGCAGAGACTACAATTCAAAGTACAGTGCTGGACACAGAATCTCCCAGAACACACAGGGGAAGAGGAAATAAGAGAGGAGAATTAGCAACAGTTCGCCTCCAACGACCAGGGCTCCAATGGGAGAGGGGGGCAACAAAGCTTTCCCCCCTATTTGTAGAACCCAGGACTCCTGTGTGTGCGGCACACAAGGTTCGAGACAGTAATGTGGTCACCACGAAACCCGCCAACATCAGGATCCCAGACCGAAGGACACAGCTACGCATGTCTAGCCATTTTAAACGTGGAGGAATTAGGAGGCGGCTCAACCGCCCCTAAGAAGACCCGAGCTATGAAGGTGACACAGCGCTAACGAGGTCATTGTCCTGCGACCCACACGGAAGCTCAAGTGTCCTCGAGAAACACGGGGGGGGGGGGCAGGCGCTCAATGTCACCTTCGCCAGGGCGCCACGGTCAGGTGGCCCAGGGTCGGCGCCTAATCGCAGTCGCGGACCAAAGGCTGAGGCAGGCTGCGCCACTAGGTCCCCACGGCGCGGGAGCCCCCGACCCCGCCAACCGCCCGCCGGGCCTGGGCTAGGCCGCCAGGAGCTTGCCCTCGAATGGCGGCGGGGCCGGGTCACGACAAGGACACGCGGGCGCAGGCAGGACCTTACCGGCGACAGGGCTGGGGGCTTCGGCGGGCTGTAGCAGGCTGCGGGGCGCGGTACGGGCAGCGGCTGCTACCGCGTATCGGCGGAGAGCTGCGCCCAGCATGACGGCGATGGCGGCGCAAGGACTGAGGTTCCAGGCAAGCCGGTGCGCCTTCGCGGGCCACTCCGAGCGCACGGGTTCCCGGCACACGCAAGACGTAAAGGGCGTAACCGGGGCGGAGCGCACAACCACGCCCACTGCAGCTCTTGCGCCTCCAGGGAATTACACCCTGCGCCGCTGGCGGGCTACGGTGGCGCCATTCGGACAAATGTGTCTGCTTCGCGCCCCGCCCCGCCTCTGGATGGGTGGTGTATTGGCCACGGTGGAACAAGGATGGACGGCGGACGGGCACTAGCAATGGACAGTGTAGGGGTTCGAGTCCAGCTCAGAGGAGACTCTCGCCAAAAACATGGTAATGATAGCTATAACAACGAAAATTGGAGGAAGGAGTGGTGGGAAAAGAGAGGTAAAAAGAATTAAGATGCGCCTAATGTGGTGGTCCATGCCTGTCATCCTGGCACCTAAGAGGTTTAGGCTGGAGGATCGCTGCGAGTTCAAGGCCAGCCTGAACTACATAGCCAGACCCTGTCTCACCCCCGCCTCCCAAATTAAGATGTGTTATGGGGGCCAGGGATTTAGCTCAGTGGTTCCGCCGCCTGCCGCACAAGCACAAGGACCCGAGTCCGATCCCCGGTACCAAAAAAAAAAAGATGTGTTATGTACATGTATCAACTCCCTACAATGAATGTAATCATTATGTATTGCAAAGATACACTAATGAAAATAAAAAATTTTAAAACATGACAAATTATACTAAATAACTTTGCCTCTCCTCCTCCTTTGATACTAAAATAACAAATACCAAATAACTGCCTATATGCTGGGGACCTTAGTAGAAACTATTCTTATAAATTGACAAGCATTAGAACATGAGTCAAACTGTTTACTTTTACACAACAGAAACAGACTCAGAAATTAGGTTGCTGATGGATGTGGTGGCGCAGGCCTGTGATCTCAGCACTCTGGGAGGCTGAGGCAGGAGGATGGGGAGTTTGAGCCCAGTTTAGGCAATTTAGGGACTTGGTGAGGCCCTGCCTCAAAATAAAAAATAAAAAAGGGTTGGAGATGTAGTTCACTGTGAAAACAGAGAGCTCAATCCCCAGTACAGAAAAGCAAACAACAACAACAAAAACGTGTATATAGGGATAGAGTGGGGACCCATTCTCCATTCTGTAACCACTGAGGAAAGAAAGGGTAGACATTCAGGTCCCTCTTGCTAGCTCCAGACCTCTCTCCTGGGCCTCAGCATCTGTCCTCTTCCCTGCCCCCACCGCCCCATTGTGGCTTTAGGGGAGTATGAACCCTGCTGGGAAAAGGATTTTTTTAAAAGTTGCTGTCAAAGTATCACCCCCACCTTCTCCCACCAACCTGGCCAAAGGACATCAGGGAAGCTCTGATCTCTTTGCAGTTCAATTACTGTTCACGAAATCTCCAAAAGCTGGAGGCTCTTGCTGAGGTCAGAGCAGTACAGGAAAGAAAGTCACTGGAGTATATTCCACCTGCAAGCCAGCTGGTCAGCCTGCTGCCAGAGGCGCTCCACTCTGCCTACAGTCACTAAGATTGGCTATGAAGTGTTTAAAAATTAATATACACTTGTCAGGAGTGGTGGCACACCCTTTTAATCCCAACACTCAGGAGGCTGAGGCAGGAGTTTGAGGCCAGCCTGGGCTACATAGTGAGACCCTGTCTCAAAAAACAAACAAATAAAATATAATTATAGCCAGGGACCCGGGAGGCTGAGGCAGGAGGATCTCAGGGAGTTCAAGGCCAGCGTGGGCTACATAGTGAGTTCAAGGTCAGCCTGGGAAACTACCTAGCAAGACCCTGTCTCAATACATAAATGCATACATCCAAAACAAACTAATTCCTGATGTGCCACCGCATGCCACTAATTATTCTCCATCTCACCAGTGCCTCATAACATGCTAAGATAAAAGTTTATCCCTATTTTATTAGCCAAGCATGGTGGTGCACATTTGTAATCCCAGTTCTCCCAAAGGATGAGACAGGAGAATTCCAAGTTCAAGCCCAGCCTGGGAAACTTAGCAATTTAGCAAGACCTTGTCTCAAAATTTAAAAAGGGGGACCAGGGATTTAGCTCAGTGGTGCCACCGCCTGCCTCACAAGCACAAGGTCCCGAGTTCTCTCCCCCTACTGAAAAAAAAAAATGTAAAACGTTGCGGGGGGCGATGTAGCTTGGTGTGCAGGCTCTGGGTTCAATCTTCAGTACCGGAAGGAAAAAACACCTCCAGAAATTGCTTTCTTTCTTTTCCTCAGCCCAAGGTAGGCTTTGTAGACCCTTCAGTCAGTTCAGAACCCTCTACGACTTTGGCAGCAGGCTCAGCCCTGATCACCCTGGATCAGTTTTCTAATGTTGGGTAACAATCTACCACCAACGCAGCAGCTCTAAACAATACCCATTATCATCTTCCCATCTCCACAGCCCAGAAGTCCAGGCTCAGCATAACCAGACTCATGCAGGGTCTCAGGAGGCTGAAGTACAGATAGTGGCCAGGAACTCGGAGTCCTCTTCTGAGGTATTCCAGAGGTTGGCAGAATCCAGTCCCCCGAGGTGGTAGAACTAAGTCTCCACCTTTTTTGCTAACTGAGGACACTCATCTTCTTGTCCTTACCTCATGGCCTCTGCAGGCCCTCACACAACACTGCTGCTCGTTTTGTGGGTTTTACCTAGCCTGGTAGTTGAGTAGTGTCAACTCCACGTAGCTTTTTTGTTTTGTTTTGCTTTGTTTTTTGGTACCAGGGATCGAACTTGAGTCCTTGTGCTTTTGAGACAGGCGACAGAACCACTGAGCTAAATCCCCGGCCCCTGCTGCTCATTTTTCCAGGCTGGCAGGAGAATGTCTCTCTGATGAGACACCCTCTTAATTTTCTTTTCTTTCTTTCTTGTTGTTTTTTGTTTGTTTTTTGAGTCTGGGTCTCACTATATAATTCAAGCTCATCTTGAACTCACTGTGGAGCCCAGGCTGGCCTTAACACATGGCAATCCTCCTGCCTCAGCCTTCCAAGTCCTGGGGTTATGGGCATGCACCACCACACCAGGCCTCACTGTCTTTTTTTTTTTGGTGCTGGGGCTCAAACTCCAGTCCTTGCGCTTGCACAGCAGGCGGCAAAACCACTGAGCTAAATCCCTGGCATGGTAACCTTTTGATTAACTCTAAAAAATAATCTCAGCCTCTCCTAGCTCCATTCCATTCGGACACCATCTACCCAGATCCCATGGGTGGAGGCTCATCCCCAGCAGTCTGCCTCTCCCTTCGGACAGCTGTCTCTAGTCTGGGCCTCCAGAGCTTCTCCCTGAGCAGCCACCTCCTGGGCTTCCCACAACCCCTCCGTTGGGTTTGATTGATTTGCTAGAGTGGTTCATAGAGCTCAGGAAGATACTTTATCTATTTTTTTTTAACTTATAAAGAGAAAAAGTTTATTTTGGCTCACACTTTTGGAGGTCCTCATCCACGATCTATTGTATTGGCTTCATTTCCTTTTGGCCTGTGGTGTTGAGGCAGGAGATTAGGGCATGGCCAGTTGGCTGGGCAAATGGGCATGAGCTGTCAATCATGGGGATTCAGGACACATGCTCAAGCCTTGCACCTGGGACCAATCAGAGTGTTATATTCAGTTCTTTTTTTTTTTTCTTAAATAGTAAAATATTTATTGGTACATTTTAGCCATACATAATGATAACACTCATCATGGGCAATTTGCACTTGTACATGGTACATCTCACCTCTTTTTTCCTATAACCCCCTCAAGCTCCTTCCACTCCCCATGTACAAAAGCTTTGTTTCCATTTTTCCTTCTATTTTCTCTATTATTTGTTGTCCTTTCCTTTCTCCCTCCCTCCTCCCTTGTTCCCCTTCCCATTTGAACATTTTCTTCCCATTTCCCAATATCTATTTTTTTTTTGGTACCAGGGAGCGAACTCGGGTCCTTGCGCTTGCACAGCAGACAGCGAAACCACTGAGCTAAATCCCCAGCCTCCCCCAATATCTATTATACATTTTAGTCTTTATTTCCACTTTCAGTTTCTCACACCAGAGAAACAATGCTGTATTTAAACATGTGTGTCTGCTTTATTTCACTAGGGAGTATGGTCTCAAGGTTTATCCATAGCTATAAATGTCTGAAGCTTATCCTTCTTTATGGCAGAGTAGTACTCCACTGTATAAAAAAACCCACATCTTTATCCATCCCAAAACAACTTTTGGGCTGTTTCCAAGCTTTAGCTATTACAAACTGTGCTGCTATAAACATAGGTGTGCATACATCACTGTAGTATGAGGCTTTTAATTCTTTTGAGAAGATACCAAGAAGAGCAATAGCTGGGTTGAATGGAACCTCTAGTTTTAGTTTTAGGTTTTTTTTTTGGTTCTGGGGATCAAACTTGGGTCCTTGCACTTGTGCAGCAGGCAGCAAAAACGGTGAGCTAAATCCCCGGCCCTAGTTTCAGTTTTTTGAAGAATCTCCAGACTGATTTCCACAGTGGTTGCACCAGTCTACACTCCCACCAGCAGTGGAGCAGGGTTCCTTTTCCCCCACAGGTCTGCCAGCATTTGTTATTGATTGATTTCTTGATAGCAGCCATTCTTTCTGGGGTGAGATGGAATCTCAGCTTGTTTTAATTTGCAGCTCTTGATTTACCAGTGATGTTGAATGTTTTTTCATATATTTATTTGCCATTTCTACTTCCTAATTTTCTGGGGGGGTACCGGGGATCAAACTCGGGACCTTGCACTTTCAGGGCAGGTGTCGGAACCACTGAGCTAAATCCCCAGACCCTCTACTTCTTAATTTGAGAAGTGTCTGTTCATTTCAGATGCCCATTTTTGGGTTGGGTCTTTAAATTTGGATTGTCCGATTATTTTTTTAGTTCTCTATGTATTCTAGATAGTAGTCCTTTGTCTAAGGAATAGTAGGAAGACACTTTAGTGTTTTGTTTTGTTTTTTGAGAAAGGTCTTGCTATGTAACCTAGTCCTCCTGTGTTATTGTCCTCAGTGCTGAGATTACAGGTGTGTGCCACTTCATCCAATACCACTAGTTCATAATAACTTTTCTATAAGCCTCCAATTGAACCCTTTCTCTTTTTTTGAGGGG